CAGGCCATTGGTATATAAACCCACTCGAGAGACCATCCTGATCATACCTGAACAATATTTTTTTTGGCTTATTCCACGTTTTATGATTAAACATAAAACATTTTCCAGTGTCTACCTGCTTGTTCCAGGTGGATGATGGCCTCGTTGCAATGTATTGAGCCTCATCTTAACAAGAATCTGCTAAGGGAAGGAATACTAAGAAAGCAGCAAGGACAGAAGTCTGTAGAGCTTTGCACATTGGTCTCGCCATGGGAGCACTTTCATTTTCCACAGTAACTTTCCAGGAAGTTCTTAAAGATAAAAAAAATGTGTCCTTAATATTTTTAAAAGCAAACTGTCTCTACCTGTGAAGAGGCACTTAACTGAGTTTCCCACAGGACAGTTGGACAGAGAAAGGAATTGGGTCACTTACAGATTGCTTGGATGTATCTTGAGAACTTGGAAGGTTGTTCCTCTTCGCGCTCGCATAACACATACAGGGTAAATATCTTGATCTTACAGCGTGACTTCTTTTTATAGAACTATAGACTCTTTTATCAGAGATGCCTGAATGGTATGGAACCTGTTTACAGGAGTTTGGATGGGAAGCTGAGACAGTGAAACTGAATGCATATCTTCTTTCCTGTTGTGGATGGGGCTTTGTCGCTCACATCTGCTGTCTAGTCCCATGGGAGCAGTTCTTTACTAATGCTTTTGTGTGCACATGCTCAAAGGAAGCTACCACTTAAATTTCTGTTCCTGTGGCATGTGGCTACTAAAAGACTTTTTGGTTTTATGGAACACAAGGAGCCACAATTTCTAGGGGAAAAAAACCTGATTGTATTTAACATATTTGCTCCATGACAGCCACTCTGAACTACTTTGCTTCCTTCACACTCCTGTGTGTATTTTTATAGAGTGGTAAAATAACATTTGCAAATTGATTTACCCATAAGAACAGCGTGATGTATCTCACAACACCTCTCTGCCTTTGGTTCCCCCTTGGGGAAAATGAAAATAAAACTATTAAAATGTACATTGGTATCCTTCTTATAAAACAGATTTAAAAGGGACTTGCACTTGTTTCCCTTTTTTAAGACGTATTCCTCCTTAGGAAACTCTCTGTATGTGCCACTCAGAGGATGCTAGGGTATTTTGCAGGAGTCATCTGGACAGAAAGGGAGTCCTGTAATGGATACATCTTCTTCTGCTTAAAAGAAAAAGGCTGACCCATTATAGAGTTTCCTTTCTTACGAAAGGTACTTGCTGTTCCTTTGTGGAATAATATGCTTCGAAGTTGTATCTAAAAACCTCCAAAGAGCTGGAGTAATTCTGTATCTTACTGGTCTAACCAGAGTATAGCTTTTCACTTTTTTACCAGGAGGGGATAATAAATTAACTTTTTAACGGACAAATATGGCACAATTTGTTTAGCATGTGTGGGGAAAATGGTAAAATGACCCTGAATTCTAAAGCAGACCTTGCTCCCCTCTCCCACCCCAACCCCTCACGTTGTGCCTGAGAATGGGCAGAACAAGGGGGAATCCCCACCATTCACTGCAGACTGATCTGACCCATCCGTGAGTTGTCAATGGTTTTGTATTAATAGCTCTGAGAAGCAGAATTGGAAGCCTGATTTCTGTGTGTGTGTGTGTGTGTCTAATAAGGCATAAGCTCTGATCAAAAGTTTCCATGCAGTTGTGTCGTGGTATCTTTCTTCCCTGTGGATTCTCTGGTGTATAAGAATATACAATTAAACTTTGTGCCATGGCCTTCTCTTCAGTGGGAATGCTGTGGTTCTGTCTTCCACCTAGACATTTTTTTTTTTTTAAAGCCTATTAGGAATTTTGTTTTGAGGAATTTGTCTCTCTCAGCTTTCACTGAAAGTTAAACTAAACAGTGCAGTTTCTTGAGGAAAGCAAACTAGAAATAGATGGCTGCAGTGGTGTATCCTGATAGCTATACAGGAATGGTCAAGTGAGTGTCTTCAGAGTGACCGGTCCCAGCCCTGGGAAGAGGTAGGACCATCTTTTTTGCCCCATGCGTTGGCAGCAAGGCTCAAAACCAGTCATCCGTTCTTGGAGGTAAGTGAATACCAAACATCTGGAAGCATCTAGGTGTGTTTTAGGGTGTCAGTTGTAAATGGAGCTTGGCCAGGGCTGGTGGAGAGGTGCTGGTGGGGTTCGCTGCTTTCTGGTGGGGGTTGACTGGTGTGTGCCTTAGTGGTGCTTGCTTTAGTTAAGTTGGATGGTGGGTTTAAACAAGACCATGAAAAATTAGAGCAACCTAGTACTACTGATACCATTCCTCATCCTGAACTGAGAAGTCAAAGGATTTCTTTGCGATTGCAAGGTCCCAAAAGTAGATGGGCCAGTGTCTTGTAGAGTTCCTGTTGGAGCTCTTCAGTGTGTTGGTTAGAAAATGCTCTTTGATTTGCAGGTATCAATGACTTTTCCAGGAGTGTAGCTGGTAAGATGGGAAAGATTGGGGGATAAGTGGCTTTTGGGGACTAGTGCTCTGCACTCTCCCTCCTGCAGCATCAGCTCATGTGCAGCCTGAGCTGGCCAGGCACGGTGCCGCTGCACAGGAGCTGGGATAAGGTATGGAGTTTGGGACCAACCCTGGAGACGGTGGGCGCAGGAACAGTGTAGCTGTGCAGCACACTCTATTGGAAGCGAACTCATGGTGTACAGGATGTTTTTTGGCAAGAAATACTGTGACTCGGGCTTGCCCTAGAAAGAGGCCAAATAGGATGTGAGAGCAACAGTGCGCAAGGGAGATGGTTTGAAGGACCTCTGCCTGGTCCTGCTGGTGCTTGCGCTGATGTAACTTCTTTGCCCTTATGCTTTCTCACTGTTCTTCCTCCTAACAACATTCTGAATGCTCCATGATGTATCTTTAAACAAGATTTTTTTTTTTTTTGCGCTGGAGGGGTGTCAGCTTTGCTGAAACAGCTCTGACCCGTAACAAGGTGATTGCTCAGGATGAAAAATGCTGGACTCTACGGAGATGCATCTAAGGTCTGGTTTCGAGGTGCAGAGCACTCCTCTAGTTGTCTACTGTTGAGAAGAAACTAAACCAATAATCATAAAGGTTACTAACACCATGTTAGGAAATACAAGCTCCCTGTTAAGCTAAATTAAAACTGGAGGGTGGGATGCAGGCTACCGCACAGCCCTGGGCACGTGCCGCTGCCCACGCTGGTGCCTGGCACACGCGTGTCCTGCTCACAGCTCCTCCGTGGGGAGGAACCGATGGTGTTTTGCACACCGGGTGTTCCTTGCTGGAACAGCATGAAGCTCCGATCGCCACAGACTACAATTTAACTAGTTAATAGCTCAGCTGTGACTCTGGAACGAGACTTTATGCGTATTCATGAGTATTGTTCTTGGTTTGGTTTTTTTGTACTAACAAATAAACTCGTTTAACGTATAAACCTGCCTGGCTTCCGAATCTTGCAGCGGCAGCCCCGGT